GAAGCTTTGAAGTACTTTGAAATTATGGTGCAACAGATTGCAGTTGTTGTACTTAAGAAATGCAAACAGTATTTTAAAGGAATTCAAATGGGATGTTTTCTTTTCAGCAAGAACTTTGGCAAAGAAACGCATTAAAAAGCCTCATAATTGCAGTTGGAGCATAAATTGTCTATGTTAAAGGTGTTATTTTAGCATCACAACACCTTAATAATCAAAGTTAAGTCTGATATTCTGCAGTGTGATTAGCCTTGGCTGTCATGAACACATCTTGTGGACCGTCAGAAAAACCTCTCACTCTATAATCCCAGTGTATAATTAATGCTCTCGGCATATTTCCAAGTCTCTGATACACACCTTTTTTCCTAAAAAAAAAAGTGTTTAACTCATTTTTTTCTCAGTGGAGTGGATCAAAACGCTAGCGTTTGCTTATTCTCTCCTCCTCTTTCTCAATCAGCAAATTTTCCCTTTGATCTTTTATTCATATGATTAAGTCTGTGTATCACCAGACTCTTCATTTTACATTTCAATATATGATGAGACCATCTTTGAAGTAGGGTCTGCTGCAGTGGAGTGACTTTGGCGAGCAACTTTTTTTCCCCTTCATTTTTTTCTGTCTGTAATGTTGCCAATTATTGCCAACTTGGAAACATTTTCCATCGTGTTAATTATCCATTTTAAGTAGTTTGACCCTGAGTGTAAACACACACACCCACAAACAATATGCATGTTTTTCATCTTACATGTAAAAAATAAAATACTCCGATGCTCCAAGGCACCCTATTCCCTATATTATATCATTCTTGTATCACCAGAAATATGTTATCTCTTTCATGAACACATATTTTTTGTATCCATTTAGATTCAGTATTCATTACATTTCCCTTTTTACTGGTGCTTCTGTGCTCCCTCACATGTATTTTTCAATTGCTTATTATAATGCTTTACCCTTGCGCCTGCGTCTGTCTTTTTTCCCCCAGTGCCAACAACCTCAATTCATCCTCCCTGCCCTCCTTTGCCTGTTTGCCCTTCCTTTCTCTCACTCTCTTATAGTCACATGTCTTTTCTATCACTCCCCTTTATGTTTGACACCATTCCTAAATCAATACCTTTAACCCTTCCTCTCTCTCAGCACATTGCCACCCCCAAGCTGCCTCTGCCTCTCTTGTCCTACTATTTCAGACTTTTCCTCAGAAGATAAAAGGTTTAAGAATGTTTAATGTCAGATGTGTGAACAAAGCACATGAGCAGGCTCAGTCAGCCAGGATTTGACTGAAACCTATATAAAGCCTAATGAGGGAAAGACAAAATGTGGTAAACTTCGATGTAATAACAAGACAAAAGTGGTAGGATTTGACAAAGGTGAGAAAGGAGGGAGTGTGTATACGTGTAAGCAATAGGCTGTGTAGGGGAAACGACAAAATATTATGTAATTCATATTTTATGAGGCTTTTTCTTCAACTAAAAATGGATCAAAATTGTTTTGATGTGTTTGATGTTGCTTTTTATCCATATTTATTCAGACCATGTACCATGACTCATAGCTCACAGTGTTGCCCTGAGCTAAAGTGCTAGCATTGCACTGATGATGATCTTGCTAGGCATGTCAGTGAAACTGTCAATGCATATTTTTGTCTCTGTACCACCATGTAACCTGATACAGGATTAGGCGTGAAGGTTTGTTTTTCTTTAATTGCATGATTCACATGACACCGCACGACTGATTCTGCAGAAACACGCCTCTTTATAAACCCCGGCCTCTGTCTTTCACTTCCTCTACACCATCTACATCTCTTAGCACAGAAGCACTGGGATGTTGGCTGACTTTACAAAAGACATAAAAATGTATGCAAATGTACACATAAGCATGAATGGAAAGTTATAACCTTAGTCCCGCCACGCATTTTCCTCTTATTTTCGTTTGCTATGTGCATTTGTTTACCAATGGAAGTGTTGATGATGGGGTCCTCAGCTTTTATATGATATATCTGAATGTTAGTTCATTCTTAGTGCTCCATGAGCACTAAGAATGCTTAAAAAAACAAACAAACAAACAAAAAGGAATCCTGGTATGATTTTATTTGAGCCCCAAAAATACCCACTGTCACAGACATGGCAACTCTGATTCCATCTCTATCCCCTCTACCCTCTTACCCACATGCACACATATCTTCCCTCTACTCCTTTCACCTGCCCCACCTACCTTTCCCTCGCTGCTTGTGTACTGTAGGTGCACACCTAGAGCAATGGAGCAGCTGAACCCAGCAGTGGATTAGCGGTAGTGTGAGAGAGGCCAGATTCAGAAATATTCCTCTAGGGAAGTCAAGTCAGCTAATCCGACCCCAGTGCTTACTCTATCAACGCCCTCACAGCTGCACTTTGCCCCAGTACATACAGACACACATACACACACGCAAACAAAATACAACCCAGGCGTGAAGATCCCAACTTAGATGTGAATGCCAAGGCCTATACCACCACAATATGTGTTCATGAAAGCAGACACATACTGAAGGGTATATGCGTTACATGCACACAAGCGGTTTGACACTTTTATTCAAACATGTGCACGCACTCATGCATACACAGAATGCGGGATACGCTGCAATGGTAGAAATCCCCCTAACGAGGCCCCCTGTGGGAATGCAGGAGTCCTTTAACCTGTGTGTGACACCGAAATCTTTCCAGGTGTAATAAGAAAATGCTGAGCATACTCACTAGTACAACAACCTATTTGGTCCCTAAGAGTTAGAGCAGTCTGACTGGCTTTTTATTCAGCTGACTGATTATCTGGATGGTTAGTAAACTGGCCCCTGGGCTTCTTGTTCCAGTAGTAAGTACGTAAAGGTACCTTTAGCAGATGCCTTTGAACTTAAGTCCATAAATATTAGCACAAATGCGCCCCTATTCCCACAGAATACTCATCCATGCTCGCACAGATGTATGCAAGCACAGGAGGATGCATGTCCCATTTAGCATTTATGAACTATTAATACACAGAGGTGAGCACACACCCACAGATGCACACAAAAACAACAGGAGGATCAGGCAGGAGGCTGCCTGATTGCTCATCAAGCAGCAAGGACGAGCTGGCGAGAGGCATCAATACGACTGAAGCCCACTCTCCTGGGCCCACCTGTCGATTACAGTGGCGAAGACAAGCCGCCTAGTGCCTCAATGCATTCCCAGCAGCCTCTGTTGAGCCTGTAGACACCTGAAGAATTCTGATGCCAGGAGGGAATGTGGGACCTTCCACTTCACACTGCCAGATATGCAGCGGTTTTCCTCTGCAGCATAAACCATTGCGATAAACAACTCTACAGAGAAATGGAGCAAGGATACAAATCTATCGCTCATGTGGTAGCGATTCAGTTTGTATGGGGTAGAAAGAGATAGATTAATATCTAGCTGTCCACAGAAACATGTAGAATAAGATTTTCACAAAGAACTACAATACATTTCTTAGACGCACAATAAACAGGGAATAAAATGCAATTCGCGAAATACGATGGCGATAAAGTGTTACGGCTATTTACAGCACAAAAATCCCCAATAAATCTTGTAGAGTTGTAATTAGAAATCCTGATTCCCCACCATTTGGCCTGCAGAGCTGAATTATGTTTTTGCTGTTTATCTGGCTGAAGGACAACAATCCCATTGCCCTCTGCAGCCTAATAATTAGGGAAGATTAGAACAGGATCAAGCTGTTTTCCCCATTTGCTCTCCCAAGAGACTGAAGGGTTATGAGTGTGAAGTTCATCCTGTCTAACCTTGTACACGGAGACATGAAAAGAGATGACTATCATGATGCAGATTTAAACTTACTTGTCCCTTTCTTTCTCTCTTTCTTTCTTTCTTTCTTTCTTTCTTTCTTTCTTTCTTTCTTTGTATAAACAGTTTGAATGTGTTAAAAAGGTATTAATGTATGTATTAAGTATAAAATTAAAGTTTAATATTTTTGGACATGTCGTTTTAAATGATAAAAACATCAGTTGCTTTCCCTAACAAGGCGCTGGTTTTTAGTTTCAGCACCACGGACAGCTCTCTTACTCTACTAAAAGCTTCTTTCTTTTTTTTGCTTCTTCTTAATTTTCTTATGAACTTACCCTGCTGATTTGACCAAAATAAATCTAATCAATAAGGAAAGAAATATTGATTTTTATAGAGGTCATTGAAACTGCAGTTATTAATTGGGCCATGTTCAAACCGAAGTTATGCACAATTGATTTGAGTCCGATCTGATATCCAAGCTCTGTTCAGAGCTGCTGCTCTCACACAGTCGAAACTTGAGGGTGTTGGATGTTCACTGCAATCCAGGAAATGTGTCATAAATATAGGAAGCGAAGCTTTGTGTGTTGGAGTTAAACGCTCTCGAAGCAGCTCTATCCGAATGTGTTACAAACATAATGATGTTCATTCTATGTGCAATCACGGCCCCTCGCTTCACTGCTCCCCCTTTCCTGTCCGTTTCAAAGCAGAGGTCGGCGACTCTTCCGAAGCTAGATGGCAGAAGAGCCCCACTGCAGCTGAGCTGCGCTTTGCGCCGTCATCGTTCCATCTTTGCATTGCAAATTGCCCAACCCCATCACTCCCAATAACAGCTCCTCTCGATCTCCAAAATGAAAATCAGAGTTATGGTGGGATTGCCTACCAAGCGTATTTCTTTCATCAGCTCTCGGGACGGGATGCTGCCTGTCTGAGTCTCAACTAACACCCCCACACCCTTTCCACCTCCAACACACACACACACACACACACACACACACACACACACACAC